TCCCAGCGCTATAAAAACTTTATAAACCCCCCGGAGCCCGAGCAGTGTGAAGAAGAGGAGGCGAGAACGACCCCCGGACCGGCCAAAGCTCGCGCGCCGCTGCATCCCCGCGTCCAGCGCCTACGTCCCGCCGCCGTCGCCACCATGCCCAAGAGAAAGGTACGTGGCGCGAGGGCCCTCAGGCGCTGGGCCGCCACTGCCGCCGCCACCACCGCTGCTGCCGCCGCTGCCGCTTCCCCGGCTTTGGGGCGCGAGGATCGGCACCGGGCCGGGACAGGCTCAGGCGCCCTACACAGGAGCTCGAGACGGTGTCAGGCTGCCCCGGGCTAACCCTGCGCGGCTCGGCTGCCCGCGGGCGCCAGAGGCCATATTGGAGGAGCGGCGGCCGCGGCGGGAGGAGCCATGTTGGCGGCTGTTTATCCCACTCCCCTCGGGATCGACGTGCCCGCCCCGCGCCCCCTCCCCCATCGCCATGCCCCCTCCCCTCCCCGCGGGCGGGCAATTCAAACCCGAAAGGGCGGGAAGGCGGCGCTCGGGTTTGGCGGGCGGGGGAGCGCGCTGCCGCCAAAAAACCGCCGCCGTGAGGGGGGCGGGGCCCATGTCCCTTGGGGCGGGGCTTCGCAGTGTGGCCCCGCCTCCGCCCACGGCCCCGGCGCACGAGACTCGCGCCGGTGCGCGCCGCTGCCGCCCACGAGTTCCCCCGGCTGCGCGCGCCTCCAGTCTCCCGCCCTCGACGGCTGCTATGGTAACGGCGCCCGGGCCCCGCCTCCGGAGGGGTTTGTTTGCACCATCTGCAGCTGTTGCTTCTCCCTGGCGCGGCGGCGCGGGCCGCGCTAGTCCGCGCTTCTCGCTCCAGTTTAGCGCGCGCCGCCCGGGGCGGCTCGACGGAGACTCTGGGCAGGCTGGGGCCCGGGGACCCGCTGTCCCTGCGCTCTCTGGGCCACTTCGGGCGCGACGCTTACACAGAAGAGCAGTCCGCTCTCCGAGCACTTTGGGCATCGTCACGGGACTGGGGATGCTAAAACCGGAAGATTTGCTTGTCCTAGAGAAGTTGTGCGCAAGGCTTTCCCTTCAGTTCTTTCCCTTGGGATAATTAAGCTTAGTGAGTCCTTTAAGAATGGCCTCAGAAGCTACAACTTTCTTAGGTCTTGTTTGTTTTTTATAGGCTGAAGGGGATGCTAAAGGAGATAAAGCCAAGGTGAAGGATGAGGTAAGTCTTTCTTCGTCTCTCTTCTGGAGTCTTAAAGCCTTTGGGCTCCTTTGCTTAACCATACCCCTAGTGCTGAATTACCCTAAGCTCCCTCCGCTTCTGTCGTCTAGAACAAACGGATTTTTTAATTTTAATAATTTTTCCTGAGTGGTTCAACTGCCCTATTTCTAATTTTTTTTATTTTCGTTATCTTAATAGCCACAGAGAAGATCTGCAAGGTTATCTGCTGTAAGTGTCTGCTGTTAAATTATCGTGTTTATCCCTGAAACTAAAAAAGTACTAAGAACAATCTCCTTTTGTGTCCCATGGGTTTGGGTCAGTGGCTGGTTGTGAATGATCCGCTCTATTGTGGACGCTCACCCATTTGATACATTTGCTGGTTCTGAAATGCTGATGGCTGTAGCGAGAGCGGGACACCTGCGTGTGTTAGTTAAGTGGGTTTCTGAAGACCGGATATTCCAACTGAAAGCCAGCCTGAAAAACTTTACGAAATAAGAGAAACTTCTCTGCCAGTGGTACCGTGGTTTGGGGATGGGTTGTCTCTTGGGTCCACCATACTAATAGTGTCGTCTTCTTTTTCCGAAATAAAAGAAACCTGCTCCTCCAAAGCCAGAGCCCAAACCTAAAAAGGCCCCTGCAAAGGTGAGTGGAGCGGAGACACCAGATGCTTCTAGGTGTTGCAGAACGCTGTGCAGTTTCCCATGTTGCTGACGGGAGTACTGCTGTAGAACAGCGTCCCCTTTGGCACAAACCTGAGCTGTGAGAAAGTTAATTTGGACTGGGCATTAAAATTATGTTGGGGGGCGGTCTCGGTGGCTCATTCGGTTCAGCGCCTGACTCTTGATTTCGGCTCAGGTCACTATCTCACAGGAGATGGAGCCCCGCGTCAGGCTCTGCGCTGACAGCGTGGAGCCTGCTTGGGATTCTGTCTGTCTCTCTCTCCCCACTCTCCCCTTCTCGTGATCTCTTCCGCTCTCAAGATA